ATAAGTGTGTAATCCAAACTACTGGAAAGATTTTCAAAGTGTGAAAGCTGCTTTGAAGAATTGAATATCTTCAAATTTTCAATCAAATTAATTATTAATGCTGGTTTCTGGTAGCAACAATAAAGCTACACGTGAAGGTTTTGCAGCTCCACTGAGGACTGTAAAAACATGTAATATGAAATTAACATCGCCTTGAAATTAAGATACTGTCATTAGATGTGAACCTTTAATTCTAAACGATGCACGAAAGTCAACTTTTTCCCTACTGGTTTTACTGGTTGGTACCACGTATGATCAAACTGGGCTTCATGTTGGTCAGGGTTAAACTGCAACAATGAGTCATATCCTGTCTGGTTTCCATTTGATGCCATGAACGAGAGGAACTGAGTGACACACCGAAGACATGGCACACTCTGAAGGAAGCTCCCATCTTTAAGCATTCTCTGCTCTAAATGTCATCATAATTTACAAATGAAACATTTGTTTTTTATTTAATAAGCCTTTCAACTACAGATTAAGACCATAAATTCATCAGGAGAGCATTCACTGAGGTCAGAGATCAAGTTGAGCAGCAGGCTCGTTTTCTCATAGATTTCCATACCAAATGACTCGCCCCCTGCTGGACATCAGGAGGGTAGCAGTTCTAAGGCACTTTCAGCTAGTTATCTAGTTAATTTCAGACTGCAGATGATAACTGCTTCCATTGTGGATAGATTGTTTAGTTGAGTGCAGGGGCTGACATTAAATGTGACTCCAGATGTACTTTAGGACGCTTTACTGACTTTCGAAGTTAGAGGCTATAGCTGTGGGTTTTTGGCCCGTCGCCCGTGCACCAGCTCCACGCTGGCGTCCGCCTCAGGCCCCAGACGCCAGGCCAACATGACAGCTATTACTTCACACCCAAAACTCAACCCACCCCCCTTATCCTCACCTCACACCCGTCTATTTTTACCGTGGGAGGCGGCTGCTGGTGTTGAGAGACGTTGAGCTGGCGGACACGCTGCTGTTGTCAGGGGAATAAGTGGGTTCAAGAGGTCATCAATGGAGGTGTGGCGCTGCTGATGTCCACGTTGTGTGTGCGTGCTGTTCTGAGAGATGAAATAAAAATTAGTGTGTGTTGTGTGGAGGAGGTGCACGATGTAAGGGTACAAGCTGCGGTGCTGAAGTGGAGTTTTAGTACGTGTTTGTGCTTTAGAAGTGTTTGTGTGTGATCAAGTGTGTTCTGGATTTGTGCCCAACCACAGTGGCGCCACTATGACAAGCTGCTGTTTGAGGTGGACACACACACACACAAATACACTCATGAACCGCTGTGATTTTAGAATACAGCGATTGTGTTTTTCTGAAGGCAAACCGTGTTATTTCCCATGGGGCCTTGCTCCTGAGGACAGTCATTTGATTTTTGCATCCCATGAGGCATTGCTGTGGGACTCAGAGCTGCTCTGCAGCCACCAGCTGCAGTGCCGTTGTGTTTTAATTGTGTTCACGTTGAACCAAAGTGAGTCAATAAGCTTTGTGTTTGTTGTGTGTTGTTGCTGAGTTGTTGTTGTGGATTTGTGTGAGCTTTAAAGTCATGTCTGTTAAACCTCTGAAGTCCAAGTCATCATAGTTGGTAACCCAATCCTCACCCTATATTTTGGAGAATTGCGTTTTGGAAAGAAAAAGTGATTCATATCAGTCAGAATAATTATTTTCTTTATTTCATGATTATCAAAACGTTGGGAGAACAAATCAATAAAAACAATATTCTGATTTGTTCTTATATATTATGACCAAAGTTAGGACCTTTATTTTTTTATATTAGCTTTTGAGGCAACCTAAACATCATTTTTTTAATGATTTGTTTTAATCATGACAGTTGATCATTTTGCTTTTCTCTTCTATTCAATTAGAATGTATTTTTACAGTGCTAAATCCCAACAACAGTCCCCTCAAGGTGCTTTATATTGTAAGGTTGACCCTACAATAATACATACAGAGAAAAACCCAACAATCATATGACCCCCTATGAGCAGCACTTTGGCGACAGTGGGAAGGAAAAACTCCCTTTTAACAGGAAGAGACCTCCGGCAGAACCAGGCTCAGGGGGGCGGGGCCATCTGCTGCGACCGGTTGGGGTGACAGAATGAAGTCAGAATAAAAGACATGCTGTGGAACTCTTCTGAGTTTATCCTTTTGGAATTTCCTCTTCCTAGCCCCTCTTTCAAAATAAAAGCCTTTAGGACAGGCAGTGGCATATGTTTAACTGGACAGCTCAACTGAAGGAGAGAAAAAATGAGGGAAGAATGGCGGAGATGGACAAATGTGGAATGAGGGAGAGAAAAAATAAAACCGGGGGTAGATTATAGACAGGAAGACAGATCCCGTGGTGGGTGTGGGAGGTATAATGATATTACCGGTATGGTGGCCTGGGAAGTCCATAACAGCAGGTCTATCATTACCCCATAATTAGCTTCTGGCTCTGTGGCGGCGGCGGTGAGGGGACATTTGCGTTGTTTGTCAATTGGTAACAGTATTATCTCGCCGCCTGCCACAACGCTCCAGCAACATCATTACAGCCGGCACTCAATCAACAATTACCCCGCCGCTCAAACAAGTTTCAGCTGGAGTTTGGGCCGCTTTCACACAGGGAGTATGTTCCTTCTGCCAAATTACAATAATTATGATTCATTTATAGCTGTGATTGACAGCTGAGTGAGGTCTCATGAAGTCTCTCCCACCTCATCGAGCGCGGCGTGTTGAACGTGGCAGGTGAAGCTGATATTTAACATGTACTGTTGCCTTCTGACAGTTTGGAAAGTTACTGCTCCCCATTATATGATGATTAGACAAGAGTGGGCCTTTCCTCCCATCGCCGCTGTTAATGGCATATTAATTTGCTGTATTGAATGTGGCAGGCATTGGAGGGGAGCGCTGAAACACACATGCTAACTCGACACAGCCTTTCAGTTCACTTCATCTTTATTTAAGCCCTAATGGGAAATCAGTGAAAGGTATTTAAAAAAAAACGGCACATGTAAAATCACTTCAGCATGTTGTGGCAAAAAGAGACATTTTTACACTTACATTTCAGCCGTTTAGCTGACACACTCCAGAGAGACTCACAATGAGAGAACAAGTCATAAAAGCCTCGGTTCCTCGATCACCAGCGTCACACTGAAGACATTTCCATTTTACATTTGAGCTGCTGCTTTTATCCGCACTGACTAAGAGCTGAAAATCACAGAAAAGTATACTAAATTGACTCTCTCGCAGTTCTCTTTTGTTCTCTGTGCTAAATTTCGACCTCTGTCCAGCCAACAAACTTTACAAGACTATTTGCAAATTTAAGGTTGTTGCAGGTAAAATATCTGACTGTTTATCCCATCCAGGCTGTTTATCAAGAGCTTTGTAACACAAACTCAAGAACTATCATTTAGAATAGAATAGAATTCAACTTTATTGTCACTGCACATGTCACAGGTACAAGACAACGAAATGCAGTTTGCATCCATCCAGAAGTGCTTTAGTGATATAGATATATTACAATATATATTAGCAATAGTATAGATATGTGAGTATATTACAGAAATGGGTCTATTATGGTATGTTATAATGTACACGGTATGAAGTATGTTATGAATATGCTATAACTATAAGTATGTACAGGCTATGAACATGATATAAATATGAAAAACTATAAAGAAAATGAAATAAAAAGCTATAGAGAAATCTGAACTATGCAGGTTATGAACAGTTGTAGAATTAAAAATTATCGTATGTACAGAATGATTATTTAGACAGTAGTGCAGTTAAGATAAGTGAGATATAATTCCTACAGAGGTATATAAAGTGCTGGTGGTTGTGAGTGGTGGTTCAGTCCATGTTATTATTGTGTGTTTGAGGGTACAGTTGTCCATTGTGGGTGTGTGTATGTTCACTCCATGTGTTAACGTGGGTCAGATGTCAGGAGGCAGAGTTCAGGAGTCTGACAGCTGTGGGGAAGAAGCTGTTCCGGTACCTGGTGGTCTTAGTCCGGAGGCTCCTGTAGCGCCTCCCAGAGGGCAGGAGGCTGAAGAGTCCATGTGATGGGTGACTGGGGTCTGGTTGCTTTTGTGAACAATTTCACCTGATGACAAGCAACCTTCAGCAACCAGCTGCCAAACAGTTGGGGACTGGGTGCTGGTAGGGAGTTGGTGACTGGTCACTAGGCCTGGGTGACTGGGGCCTTATTAAAGTCACATATCAAGGTGCAATTTGGGGTTGAAACACCTGGGAGGAGCTGATGGTTGATCTGTTCACCAGTATTAAAATATCTGATTCTTTATCACCAGTATCTAAATGACTTATTTAACATAAAGTTTAAAACACAGACAGAAATATTTCAGGTTGTACAATCTGCTCTTTTAGATTTTTTTTTAACATAATACACTTGATAATTCAGCTTCTCTCCTCAGCTTTGTTGGCTGTGCTGCTCACTCTCCTGGTTGCCAGTCTCTGCCAAACAAACCACTTCCATGTTGTCTAGATAGTTGTGTTTGGTATGTTTTCTCTCCAAAAGATACTCCAGAGTGCTTCTTTTGATCAGCTACCATTCCTTCTGAAGGACACACACAGGAAACAAACTAAATCATCTGTGACAAGTAACCAGACATTTTTTTCCCAGGCAAAGCAGTTGGGTTTAATACAGTATCATGCTGGTGTATATAGCAGTATACCAGGAGCAACTATAGTAAATTATGGGATTATGGGACCGTTTCCACTTTTACAGGTGTAGCTCGAAGCTAAAGTTATATTGAAAACTTGGAGTACTTCTACTTCTTGTTGGGAATCCCTCTATAATGTACAACAGGCTACGTAAGAAGACAGCAGGACCCAGATATCGTAGCAGGAGTCACTCCCACATTTGATGCCACTAGTCTTGATTTCTCCACACAGTGTGGGCTTTGTACTAAACTCTGATTCAAATGTAAAGTGTTTATTGTCTGATGGGAAATCTTCTCAGTCCTTAACCTGTTCACGTTATTCAGCTTGTTCATCATGTGCACCATCCTGACAAACTGTTGCTTCATGGCCATGTCCGAGCCGGAGTACTGGGCCAAATACCTGGAGTAAGTACACCTGGGATCTTTTCTTTCTTCTTCATCAGCCACAGGTGATTTATGTAAATTTACATTTAATCAATGATATTACTGGATATGCATTTCTTTCAAGTCATAGTAGCTATTGCAAAGTAATTCGAGGTAACAGAGGTAAATGGTTTGCAAATTTTAGTGTGTTGTTTGTGTCAGTCGCAGACCCTTAAACTAATATGCTGTTAATGTTCAAAGTGCACTTAAGATGCTGCTGAATCGAAAAGTAAAAGCACATCTTTGATGCTTTGGGACTGAATTCCATTTATTTCAATAGGACAGTTTTTTAAACTAAAGCTACCTTTGCAGCACACTCAGGGATCATTGGAAAAATGCATATTTTTGGTGAACAGACCCTTTAATGTACAGTAGTTCATCGCTGGCTTCCAGCTGTGGAGGCTGCTGCTGCTGCAGCTACTCGGTCAGGCCTAACGTGACAGACTCTCTGCGCTCCTGCCTGTCTTTGTACGGTTGAATTGTCACGAGTCGGGTCAAACTTGTTTCTGGGGACAAAATAAATAAGTGAAGGATGTGTGGTGGAGAGTTTTATGAATATTTATTCTGGCTCTCTCTTCCACCCGTCCGGCTTTCTTTCTTTTCTTCATTTTGTCTTTCTTTGTCCTTCACTTCTTCCACATCCATAACTTTCTCTTTCTTTCTGCCCCTGCTCTTCGTCTGGACAAGCATTTGTCGTATTTTCTTCCTTTACCTTGTTACTGTCCAGTTCTGTGCCCTCATCCTTCCTCTTTTTTCTCTTTTTGTGATCCTTTCTTTTATTTTTGCTGTTTCTTTTCTACCCTTTTCATTTTGTTTCATCACAACATGACTCCCTTCCCCTCCAATACTGATAAACGTTATCATCCCTCATTCAGGTACACCTTCACAGGTATCTACACGTTTGAGTCTCTCATTAAGATCCTGGCCAGAGGTTTCTGTGTGGGACCGTTCACCTTCCTGAGGGACCCCTGGAACTGGCTCGACTTCAGCGTCATTGTCATGGCGTGAGTCAAACACACACACTCACACACACACACATAGTATTATATAAAAGCTCAAAAGATTTAAAGTGAGAGTTGTTATAAATGAATGCCATGAACAGCTGTAATTAATCAGTAAACTTCCTGCATACTGCAGTACAGAGAGAGGATCTCAATGCTGTGACCACCCCTTGCCTTTTAAAGAGCACCAGTTCTCCTGAGTATACTTTCACACAGTATTTTGTCTGAACTTAGTTCTTTATGACTCTGCCTGGATGTTTGGGCTCTTTGTGCTACTCTAGAATAAATTTGGGACCAATCAAATGCCTTCCTGATGGATTTGCATGTGGTTACGTGTACAGTTTGTTCTCAGTGACTGTAGAACAGCTGCAGATGGAGGTCAGCGTCTTCATGAATAACTCTTCGAATGTGATTGTGAACCTGCACGAAAAACTGCAAATCGTGTTTACATTTACTTAAACCACTGAAACTCATAGGTAGTCTACTGAATGGACCAAAAAGTCACAGGGTTTTATCTGTGGAACGTGAAAAGCACCGGGCAACATTTTGTCCCTCGGTGTTTCTTAAATTATATGAGAATGATAATAAAAAAATTTGCAACCCGAGTTTGTCTGTTGAAATTAAGGTTGAAATTTGGTATCAGTGACACCACACAAACTACACAAAGCTCCTTTGAAGTCAGCATAGCCATAGTCGACAACTTCTGGGACTTAAAGTGTAGCCAACGTTCAAGTACCAACAGCCGCAGTTCCTCCAGTGGCCACTTGAGGCTCCAACGGTGAATCATGTTAAAATGTTCAGATTTACATAATAAACACATTTACAGCCTGATGCAAAATCTGTTTTTCTATGAGGATGATATTTTTAAAGTCAAATTATTTCAACTTAGTTAAGGCTTAGAGTTTGAATTATTAGGGGCGTGGCCTTTTTGACTGACAGGTAAATGGTGACACAGGCGGCTGCTAGGCTTCACCTCAGCTAATTGGAGTTCTTGAACTGGACCTGTGGAAGCCCTAACCCTGTGCTTCAGCCAAAGACCAGTGGGCCTTACTACAGCTATATCTCCATCCTCTGATCACTAATATGCAGGTTCTGGTTGCAAATGATATTATCAGTATAAAATGGAAAGTCCCATTTCAAGGTGCTGTGGTAACTGTTTCATGTGGTGATCAGAAAAACAAACAATGGGTTGTGAAAGTTGAATGCACTCTGTGACGATGGGCTGATGTGACAGTGGCAGCAGGACCGCGTGATGAAATAGCAGAACACCAGTCATCCACCTGCCGTTCAAAGTGTGGCACCACCGGAGTCTAAACCTCAGTTCTTACATGAAAGTTTGAGTTTGAGCAACAGCAGCATCACAGATGAAGTTCAGCTTGTGTTTTTAGAAAACGCTCCTATTGCACACGGATATTTTAGCAAGTTCATTTTCACAAATCAAGAAAAAAAGATGACAGAAGAAAGAAGAAAATACAACAGAAGAAAACTGCTTGGATATAAAACAAGCAGATTGAGGCGGTGGGCTGGTAAAACATGGCCTTGCTGGATACACAATTTAAAACTCAAACAATAAAAGATTACCAGGAAATTGTAGTGATTCTGCTATTTCATGCTTTTAATGGAATAGAAAAATAAATAAATCTGCAGAAATGACCAGAGTTAATCAGACAGCATTTTCCTTTTTTGAAGAGAGGCTCAGAGCTGCAGAGCGGCGTGGATGACGTGACTCTGTTGTTGTTCTGAGTGGATTAATGCTGCGGAATTAAAGAATAAAAGCGTGTCTCACACGAACTTAGATATATGTTTAGTTTCCAAAGCTAAGCAGAAGACACATTTGCAAAGTAAGGAGAAAGTCTGACTTTGTGCTGCCAGTTCAAACTCTGCGCCGTTAATAAGCATAAGCCTGACCGGCGACGACTATCGCTGCTTCTTGAGCTTCTTCTTCACTGGGAACAAATGACACAGTACATTACACTTATTTACTGATTCTTATGCTCGTCTCTTCTACGTTCCTCAGCAAAATATACTTTTCACTACTAAATCAGCTTCCACAGCCAGAATATTTACACGACTAATAAACTGAAACTTCTTATGATGATGATCACACACAGCCTGTATCGTTTTACTGAAAGTAGCCTTAGAGACGTGGTTTCCTCTCTCAGAGTAAAAACTGCACCTCCTTCTGCACCAGACGTTATCGGCTTCTTCTCCAAGCTTCACGAAGCTCAGCTTTGAGGTTCGGTTGTAATTGTACAGACGGGCAGACAAACATACATGGAGGAATAGCATGACATCCTGAAAGGGGACAGTTTCCCTAAAAAGGCTTACTAGTGAAAACTTAATTATACTTTATAACTATATAGTTGTGTAACATTTTAAAAGCTGGACGGGGCTAAAGCATCTACTTCCACTCCTGCAGAGGTGGGGTGACTGGAAAAGTGGTGGAGCCATTTTTAAGGGGGTGAACAAGCTCAGCCTGTACACACTATGCTTTTTCAATTGATTTTAAACAATGAGTCCTCCTAACACTTTAAAGATTCACCGTGAGCCTCTTTTTTTCAGCCCTGTAAGTGGACTCAGTGACAGATTCACTGGAGTCAAAGAATCTGTGATTTCTGTTTTTTTCACCCTCTCCTGAGGGCTGCTTATCAGCAGCTCGTTAGAGACAAAAAGATTCGTCTTCCTCGATTTTCTTTTGCTTTTTGACGCTTTTCTAAACAACCTTGAGATTTCTTTTCACACTGAGGTCATTTTCACCTGACCAATCGGACACGCACTCTGATGAAATGTTTTGTGAAGCCATTATCTCTGACTCTGGATTTCATCTGTTTTCTTTTGCTAAAGGACAGAGTCGTGGGTGCTGGAGGAATATTGGCTGCACTTTTTGTGGATACAAATGAGCGTTCACCACTCGGGCATTTAATTAGAGAGATTTGGAGAATGAGAGTTGGAACAACCAAATTAATTTTGCTCTCTTTATAGTCTTCGCGCTTGTGTTCTGCAGGTCTTTCATTTATTTCATGGAATGCGTTGCACTCGCATACACACCACAAAGGAGAATTTCTTAAGACTTCCTGCACTTGCTAGTATAGGATTTTTTTTTTAATGACTATGTTTAAAATCTGGATTTTTCTCTTATGATGGTGAATATTTTAACACGACCAAAATATGAGTAAATGATGGCTTGTTTTGTTGTGCAGGTTATTGTTTGTTTTTTTTCTTCTCTTTCTAAAACACATTTTTCACGTATACTAAAAAAAATTTTTTGTAGGAAAAACATCACAATAACTGAGGTGACATAAATACCGTCACCAATATTGACTGCATACTTGTTTTAAATTGGGGAAATAAAAATTAAAATCTTTCAAATAAACATCAACAGCAAGAAACAATAAAAGGCACAAAAGAAATGTCTCCAACAAAAGAGACAGCAGATCCAAAGCGAGATGAGTGAATATTTTATTGGCTGGATGCTACTTTTAGTGAATAAAGCCATTTTACGGTGTTTTCATAGAACAAAAAAACAGTGAAGTGGTTTCCTCAGTGACACTCTTGCATTTCCCAAATTACAGGTTTAAAAAGCACGAGGCTTCTCAAACCCCTCAGCACATAATCGACTGTCAAACCATCAATTCAAGTCAAGAAAAAGACTCCAAAGCTCTGAGCCTCTTATTCCTCTTAACAATGTTGGTGACGCCCCCTCTGCGAACGACATCCTGCCGCTTTGTTTCACAAAGAAAAAGAGCATGACCCATCCACATTGGTAATTGACTGACTGATGGAAAATCGTTGCAGTTTGGTTTGCTTTCTTATGAGGTGGTGATCAATCAGAGAGTCGATTAGCAGTAGGCCTGCGGCGAGGGTCGCCGGCGGGTAGATGAACAGTCAGAACGAAGCGATCAGATCAATAGATGACCCTGAGGCTCGGCTCGCAGGTTACAGTGTGGTGTAATGAAGCGCCGTCACCCCTGCACACTCTGTAAATTGAAACATTTCATGAAGGTGCCCTCAGATGATGGGTTGCCAAGTCTGTCGAGTCACATAGTACAACCCTGATGAGCTCCCGTGAAATCCCCCAAAATGGTCTCACTTAAAGGAGAAACTCCCCATTAAATACAAAGATGATCCGAATTCCTGTCAGCGAGTCAGAGGGTTTAAGAAAACGCAGCTGTTGTCTGGATTACATTCACTGATTCGACCACGTAAGGGAAGTGAAGTCCTTGGCATTCCAGAGCAGGAACACGTGAACATTTAAGTGTATAATCCTACATTTTGAAGACAGTCCTAGAGTTATTGGAAGAGTTGATGCAATTTCAGTAACTCTTAGTGCATCAACTATAAAGTTAAGAGAAAGAAATTATAGTTGGAGCTGGAGCTGTCAACTTTCAAGCTCTGGACTCAACCAGACTAGCTTTGCATGATTCACAGTTCAAAATAATCCTTATTTATCTTACGCAGTGCCTAAGTGCAGCTCTTTAGCTCATCTCTGTCTGAAACAAGCCAGTTGACTCCAGCCCCTTTTTGTAGAAACAACTTCCCTCTGATTGGCTGCCTAAGGTGACTGTAATGGGGATATCCCTCCAAGTGTTTGTGAAGCCATACACACACACACACACACACACACACACACACACACACACACACACACACACA